ACCAGCAACCTGGAAATAAAACAAATAAACCCTAAAAAACAAAACAAAACAAAAAAAAAACCAAAAAAAAAAAAATCAAAAAGAAAAACAGAAAAAACCAAAAAAAACCCCCCAAAAAATCACAAATTGGGACACAGAAATCACCACCAGCTTCTGTTCATGGGGATCAGCAACCTGGGAATAAAAGAAATAAATTAAAAAAAAAAAATCACAAATTGTGACACAGGAACCACCACCAGCTTCTGTTCATGGGGACCAGCAACCTGGAAATAAAACAAATAAACCCTAAAAAACAAAACAAAACAAAACAAAAAAAAAAAAAAAATCAAAAAGAAAAACAAAAAAAAACAAAAAAAACCCCCAAAAAATCTCAAATTGTGACACAGAAACCACCACCAGCTTCTGTTCATGGGGACCAGCAACCTGGAAATAAAACAAAAAAACCCTAAAAAACAAAACAAAACAAAACAACACAAAACAAAAAAAAACCCAAAAAAACAAAAAAATCAAAAAGAAAAACAAAAAAAACAAAAAAAACCCCCCAAAAAATCTCAAATTGTGACACAGGAACCACCACCAGCTTCTGTTCATGGGGACCAGCAACCTGGGAATAAAAGAAATAAATTAAAAAAAAATCACAAATTGGGACACAGAAACCACCACCAGCTTCTGCTCATGGGGATCAGCAACCTGGAAATAAAACAAAAAAACCCTGAAAAACAAAACAAAACAAACAAAAAAATAAAAAAGAAAAACAAACAAAAAAAAAACAAAAAAAAACCCCAAAAAAATCTCAAATTGTGACACAGAAACCACCACCAGCTTCTGCTCATGGGGATCAGCAACCTGGGAATAAAACAAAAAAACCCTGAAAAACAAAACAAAAAAACCAAAAAAATCAAAAAGGAAAACAAAAAAAAACAAAAAAACCCCCCAAAAAATCCCAAATTGTGACACAGAAACCACCACCAGCTTCTGCTCCTGGGGACCAGCAACCTGGAAATAAAATTAAAAAAAACCAGAAAAAACAAACAAACAAAAAAATCTCAATTTTTTTTTCCTGTGGATTTTTCCCTTTTTTTTCCCCGTGGATTTTTCCCTTTTATTTTTTTTTTTCCCTGTGGACTTTTCCCTTTTACTTTTTTTTTTCCCTGTCGATTTTTCCCTTTTATTTTTTTGTTTTCCTGTGGATTTTTTCCTTTTTATTTTTTCCCCCTATGGATTTTGGATTTTTCCTTTTTTTTCCTGTGGATTTTTCC